GGGGGGCCATTTCGGGTCGTTTTGAAGCCGCAAAACAGTTGTTTTGCGGCTTCAAAACGGCCACGGACGACCCGAAATGGCCCCGCACGGCGTTTTCGCGCCCTCCCCTCGCTTGCCGAGGGCGCGAAAATGGCTGCCCGGGGCCAGGAAACTTCTCTAAGTGGGACGTTTAGGGCCGATTTGGAACGCATTAAATGAAGTTTAATGCGTTCCAATGGCTTTTTACTTCCCGCTTAGCGAAGATTTCACATATGCGGGGCACCACTGTATTTGCTTTCTCACGATTTTCCCCACATCTTCCTCCAAATGGTTCTCTCCTCAATTTCCAAAAACAACCTGACTGGCAACTGATTCTTATTTAATCACTGGCAATGAAACAGGGAGCCCCCATGTCCTAGCCACACCATGACACACATACGACTTTCCTCCAATTGCTTGTCACTGTTCCTTTTGCCCCCCCTCCCCATTTGCTGCCTGGGGCTGATCCTAATTCACCAAAACCGAGATCCCAGTCCTGGAATTTCCTGTCCCAGGATTTCTTGTCCTACATACACTATGCGTAGAACACCTGCCTTCTTTCCTGTGGCAAGAGGAAAGCTGGGTGATGCCTCCACTTCAAATCTCCATAAATGCCACAAGCAAGCAAGCAAGCAACAAACTGGAAGCCCAGATATTAAATTAGGATTTGAATTTAAATAATGTTGTGGTAGTTTGATATAGATTACTGGTTTGCTTAGTCACAGAAGTCACCATAGGTAGTGTCAAAATTAAATCTGTATCAATGCTTTAGCCCTTATCCCTTTGGCACAAAGGTAACATTGTTGATTTCAGCAGCATTGCTCTTAATGGGGACTACTGTATATATCCTGTACAGCTGTTGCTAACAGACAGCAGGATTTCACAGTTCACCACCTTTCTTCATCAAGTAGTTTTTAAACCTGAGATCTTCACATTCCCCTTCAGCTGTGATTAGCCCTGTATCACTTGTCATGTCTTTTTCCTTTTCTCTTTGAAGCAAACAGTAAGTAACTTTACTTGCTATAAGTGGTGCCTCGCATAGCGATTGCTCCGTTTAGCGACAAAATTGCTTTGCGATGTTCCCTATAGGGTATTTTCGCTTTGCGATGATCGCAGGGAAATGATCATCGCAAAGCCGCCATTTTCACACAGCTGATCGGAGGTTTCACAATGGCCGCTGGGGAAAAAACATGGCCACCCGCTGTTTTTTGGGATGGATTCCTCGCTTTAGAGGCACCGAAAATGGCGGTGCTATGGAGGATCTTCGCTCAACGGTGAGTTTTAAGCCCATAGGAATGCATTAATCACGTTTTAATGCGTTTCTATGGGCTTTTTATTTTGCTTTGCGATGAAATCGCTTAGCAGTGATTTTTTCTGAACAAATTAACATCACTAAGCGAGGTACCACTGTATTTTGAAATCAGCAGTACTCCCTGTTCAAAGGCTGAAGTCCTATTGCTTAACCTAGGAAGTCACAACTAGAGTAGTCCTTGGTTTGACCAAATGGGCTTCTCTAACTTTTTATTCTACAGCTAATCCTGAACAAGAGCCATTTGAGACAGGTAGTGGGTTAGTTAGAATAGTACATCATAAGCTTTGGAAAACTTTTTAGACTGCAGTTTCCAGGTTGCATCAATCAGCAAGCAAGCCTCCACTTTGGCCCTATATTCTTAGGGTTATTCTGGAAGTGTAGGGACAAGAGTAAGTTTTCTAAGCTCTGAGACCAGCTTCTCCTGTCACTTTATCTGTCACTGAACTCCTTTGTCTCACCCAGAGCCCCTGCCATTCTACTTGGGATCTTTGATCATTTTGCTCAAATTAGCCTTCTCTAAGTAATTATGTTCTTTCATATCAGATCTGGCAGTCTTTCCAAGGTAAATGATTGATCAGTCTCCCCTTCTTATAGCCCTCTGAATCTATGCAGCTGGCCCCAAGACCGCATAGGCGTCTTCTCCTGGGAGGCACAGTAGATGATCAAGCCCCTAACCAGGTGCTCCAGCTCACTGAGCTGTCCAACAAGTTATCCTCTAATGACCAAAGATCATGTGATAATCAGTACTAAAGTTACCTCAGAATGTGAATTGCTCATATGTTGAACAGCAAGAATCAGTTATACCTTTATTAGACCACTGAAATATTAGATACAGAAGCTAGCTTTCATCTCATACAGGAATCTTCATCAGGCTGGATAATGCGGATCTGGGGGAATATTAAAGTTTCAAAAATCATGGTTGTTTCCTCTGTTTAAAGCAAGTTTCAAAATGGAAGCTGCAGAATCAGTTCAGAAGTAGCAGGGTCTTCTGTACCATCCCAAGCTCTGTAATGAAGACTCCTAGAGGAGTCAAAAGCTAGCTTGTTTGTGATATTTTAGTGTTCTATTAAAGGCATCACCAACACTTGCCTTTCAATTGTGTACAAGGAGTACACTTTTTTATATGTCAAGCATTGAAGCAAACAAAGCTGCAGTAGGTGTGGGGGTGCCATTCCCAAGGTTGCTAAGCCACATGGGTGTTGTAGTGTAGAGAAAACTCTCCTAGCATCCTGTGGCTGCTTCTGAGGGGAGGAGCTGCCACCATTCTTCCTCTTTCTCATTATCATAGATGGCTTGCCATAGAGGCCTTTCCTTAGGCCAGTCAGAGGGCTTGATTAATTGCCTTTCCCCAGACCAATCCTAATACAGTGGCACCTCACTTTACGATTGCCCCGCATTATGATGAAACCGCTTAACGATGATCTTTTTGCGATCACAAAACGATGGTCTGAATGGGGGAATTTTGCTTTGCAATGATCGGTTCCCTGCTACAGAACCAATTCTTCGGAAAACGATGTTTTTCAAACAGCTGATCGGCAGTTTCAGAATGGCCACTGGGCGATTAAAATGGCTCCCTGCTGTGTTTAGGGACAGATTCCTCGCTATACAGGCAGCGAAAATGGCCGCCGTATGGAGGATCTTCACTGGACTGTGAGTTTTTACCCCATTGGAACGCATTGAACGCGTTTCAATGCGTTTCAATGGGGTTTTTATTTTCGCTTTACGATGTTTTCGCTTAACTGCGATTTTCCTGGAATGGATTATCATCGTTAAGCGAGGCACCACTGTAACATGATGTAACCATTGTCCTATCTGAACCCTGTCTACTATCTGTAATGCTGTCACTACCTGTGACCTTGTAATGTTAATAAAAGGACAGTCTCCTGGGGGCAGGGAGCCAAGAGAAGAGAGTCAGGAGAAGACTTCTCATTCTGCTTCCTTGATGAGTCGCCCACCAGGAGTGCTGCTGGCAGACATCCATCTCTGTGTTTGGTTGACTTCCTTAATCTATTGCTAAGAGACTCTTTACTGTCCTTTTATCTGGTGAAAGCCCATCAGCCTGCTCATTGCCTGAACCCAAGTAGTTACATGATAACCGAGTGAGTAAATAAGATCTTGAACATTTCTGTATGTTAATAGTATTTTTGAAGTACCCACCAAAAAGTCTCTCAGATAGTGAACTGTGAGGAGCATATTTAACAACAAGACATTATGGGTTGGATTTCACATTACCCAATTATATCTGATTCATAGGATACTTCTTTTGATCTTGCATCCAGGCTAGGACTTCCTCTGCTTACCTTTAGCAATGCTACAACACGAGGTGTCCTTCGGCTATTCCATCAGCAGAGCCATACCGATTTATGTAAGGAAGGTTCATTTCACCTAAAACATTCTCTATGTGTGGGCTAAGGCAATCAGAAGTTTGGCTACAGTGGGCCTGTGAGTAAATGGAAACTGTCACATATTTTATGCCACAATGAGAATTTAAAAGCAGAACTCCTTAAAAAAACTAAAATATTTTGATTAGATTAGGTAAGCATCTTTCCTAAATGTGAAGTTAATTGAATGCACAGTGTTTTAAATACCTGTGGGAATACTGTTGCCTGATTTTCAGCACAGAATAGCTAAAACATGAACCTGAATGGAAGGTCTTTATTGATCATTGTGGCTATGTATCCAGTGCATAGATCAGTGGTCTTGGAGTCGTTAAAGCGTAGACAGAAGAAATATAACTTGTCCAAAGCTGATATAAATAAGAAACAAATCAATATTCCCTGTCTTGTTTATGTCATTGATTTTTCTATTTAAGGAACTAGTTAGCTTTAGAAAAGGTCTGAGACGTAGTTGTTACTCAGTCCAACATTTAATCAGTTTGTTGCCCTAGTTTAACATCGATTAGGAGATGGACACATTGCTTGGGAAAAGCAAGGCAGTCCTGATGTAAGGGGAGGCCTTATGTTGATTTCACTGCTTGTATAATATACACACTATTCTCTCAGCCTTTACTGACACAGTCTGATGAAAAGCCAGAGCTGCTAATGGCCAAAATGCTTCTATGAACTAGCTCCTGGGGTGTTTTGGCATATACTTAAATAAAAAAGGTGTAGTTTCTATAATCACCAGGGCAGAGACAAGCTCTTTAAATAGGTTGTAGGGTAAATAACCAGAATTGCTTCATACCCTGAATGATGAGAGGAGATCTCAAATCAGAAAACATAGATTTAAGACAGTCTTGACTTCTGACACATCTCTTTCTAAGTAAACAGGTGCAAAAAGATACAAAAGGTAGGAGGTATAATTAATATGCCCAATATGGCCCCATTACAGCAGCAGTAGGCAAATGTTTTGATCAAGACTGTCAGGTTCATATTGGTATGACACAGAAGGCCTATTAAGATGCTACAAACCTAGTAGAAAACTAGAGAGAAGGGTCCTGGCCCCCATCTTCCCTCATTGTTATTTTCTTCATCATCTTACTTAGTAGGTAGCGGGTCTGAAGGAGAGACTCGATGGGTAATGGAGGCCCTCCCTGTGAGTCTGGACCATGGAAAAGCAGGGTTCTGACTCACATAGACAATGTCCACGGGTAGAGGGGAAACACATACCACAAACTCATCACTTTATAAATGTAGAAGGGTGATGGCACTGAGCAGAGCAGAGTGGGGCTGGAATGCGTGGTTTGAGGCACCCAGCTAGGGATGAAGTGTTATGGCCATGATTTCTAATACTGTGTGATATCACAGTGATGATGTACCATGGTCATCGTTATCGTCATCATCATTTATTAAATTAATTTTACACCCAGCCTTTCTATGATGAAGTCATGGTCATAGTGGCTTACAAACTTTGTAAAACAATATATGTTAAGTAAAACTGAATAAACAGAACCTGTGATTGACTAAAAAGATTTAAAATACTTAATTAGCTGTTCATGTATAATACTTAATTTGTAATCATACCTTAATCCAGAGGTGGACAACATGTAGCCAATGTCCACATCCAGTGCCCCGCTTAGATACCATGTGGGTCAAATGGTAACTTCTAGCACCCCTGCACCCTCAATTTATTAATTATTTTGGAAGGAAATGGCTCATATAGTCTTCTCAGTGCAACAAGGAGTGGGGAGGACAAATCTGACTTGTTTTGAGAGCCTCCCAGGACTCTGGGCCCCTGAAAACTGATTTTAAAAAAGAGAGAGAGAGAGAGAGAGAGAGAGTGTGTGTGTGTGTGTG